CCGTGTGCTCATTCAGCTCTGGATGGCCAAGCGGGACTAAATGTAGGTGCAAACCCAAGAGTATTCGGACAAAGATCACTCTTGTTTTCTCTTCGTATCTCTGTGCCATTGTGCTTTGAGACCTGAGGGAGCCTGAGATTTTAATTACCGGCCACGAAATCAAGTTTTCCTGCCACGAGCAGCCCTGCCCTCCCCAGGCTCACAGCTGTGTCCTCGCCTTTGCTGCTCGCAGAGCTCATCTGCTCGGCCCCCAGTCTCACTCCAGATCTGGCTCAAGGGGCTTTTTTGGGACATTCAACTGACGTTGCCACTGGCAGCAGAGAAGAAAATCTGGGAGGAAAGGGAGAGTGAGTAAACTTTCGCTCCCTCAGGTCTTTCTTAATCACAGGATTTTTCAGAAGAAAAAGGCAAAGTTTTCAGAAGAAAAAGGCAAAGAAAAAAAGTTTGGACAGGGAACTAGCAAAATAACCCTGACAGAAAAAGGGAGAGATCTAAGGGGCAAAAGGCAAAGGGATCTGATAAATGAAAGCAGTACCCAGCTGTGCCCACACGCCCACAGCACCGAGATGTCCCCTTGCACCTGCAGGACTTAGATAATATTTTCATGAGGCTTCGCAGACACGCTAGACACGTTAATGACTGAAGGTCTGAATCTTTGTTTTGCTACTTTCAGAAACCCTCCCGTGTTGAGTTCAGAACTCACCAGCCACAACTACACCTCTAAATACCTTTTTATGAAGAACAAATGATACTGGGGTGGGGGGTGCCAGTGCTGGCTCGTAACGTACGCATCTATTTAAAGAAAAAACAAGATTAAAACCAAAACTCTCTGCCTAGTCTGATTTTTCCACAGAAAATGTCTGGAGTTAAACCTGCCTACTTTGTCCTTATTTCACCCCGTGCTCGTTCAGCAGACGCCACTCTGCCAAGTGAAGGAAGTTTGAGAGAATAATGCTGCTGCCATCCAACAGGCACTCGAGGCACCCAAGACGAGAAATTTAAAATCAGAAATCAGGCATTAAAGAGGGAAAAGGGACAATGAGTTCAATAACAATAATTCCATGAAACGAGTGTTAAATTCTATTTCCCTAAGTCCCAAATGCCCTTTTTTTTTTTTTTTTCCCAAGCAGAACTGCTGGTGAGGAATCGCAGCGAGGGCTGGAGCCCAGCACTGCAGCACTCCCCAAACACGCAGCAGCCAGGAACGGCACCTCGCTGCTGGAGCTGCCCGAGGGCAGATAAACATTTAAGAAACCCTAGGACATCAACAACAGAAAGGGAATACATCTGAAACATCTCTGGGATATGTTTTCTTAGAATTTTTTTGACATCCAAACCTTTCCTGAATTTCCTTGTGTGTAAAAAGCATGAGTGTGTCCTTAAAGATTAGCACATTTTTTGTTGACCATTTCATGCCTAAGTTAGTTTTTAAGGCACTGGGAGATGCAGGGTGAAGGGGATTGAAGGGCACAGCTGCACACCTAACCACAGACCTCTGTGTCACACCCAGGGCAGAAAAGATCCCTTAAATCTGCAGAGCCACTGTCCCAACTGGCTGCACGATCTAGTCCCAGGCATCCCACTCATCAGGTGAAGAATATGACCAAAAAATGACCATAGGCGGCTGGAGAGAAGGTAAATTTGTGAGAGCTGGTAAAACAGCAGGACCAGAAATAAGCCCAGTTTTTATAACACTGGAATGAAAAAATTCTGATTCTGTCTGTGCTACAAGTTACTTGTACTATTTAAGTCCTACAGACTGGTGGGCTCTACAGTTGGGGGTCCATATATAAGGTTTTACACACCAATACACCAAGTCCAGGACACTAAACTTTTAAAGCAACACAACTCTAGCCCCACAAAGGCTTTCAAAAGGGTGACTTTTGTATTAGTAAAATAACTGCATCCCAAACGGGTCAGCTATACTGACTCAAACTTTCAAGCAGTTGAAAGGCTAAGTAGGAAACCAACTTCTACTCTCCTTTTGAAGCAGCATGAAAGAAGTGATGTAAACCAGCTGTCTACAGAAAGATCACACGGAAATGCTATTTTCTGTGTGGTAATATTGCCACATATTTCTTTGTCTTGAGATGTTACTGCTTTTCTGAAAATAATGAAAATATCCAATGAACGGACAAAAAGACCAAAAGCCAAAAGCTGAAGGCGGGAGGTCACTACAGAGAAAGACATACTTCTGTGAAGTCTCAGAAGTTTCCACATTTGAGCAAGAAACTGTGGCATTGCTCCTCTTCTCTGTTTATGGATACTGTAAACACAAACCAGCGATGGGACAGGAACCACTAAAGCGAGTTAATCAGCACTGCTCAGGCACTACCCGGCGTGTCACGGGAACACACAGTCCCTTCACCGCTGAAACTGCAGCCCCACACAAACCGACCTGGCGTGGATTTCACCCCAGCAATAGCTGCCGGCTTGGGACTGAATTTACTGAGCTGGTAGCGTAAGAGTCCTCTTTGTCCAAAGAGCGTTGGAAGGGGTACAGCAGAAAACAAGGGCACAGAGAGGAGCAGGAAAGGCACAGCACCGTGGTCATGTAGGGGACCCAGCATCACCCACCTACTCGGAGGTTAAACAGGCTTTTAGGAAAAAGCCACCCATTTAAAAGCGTCAGCGCTTTAAAAGCCTGAGTCTGTAGTATTTCGCCTGGAGAAGATCCAGCAGCTCAGTCCCGCAGCAACGCAGCCCCAGAGAGCTCAGACACGGCGGCTTCCAGGGGCACCAGGTCTGTCCCCCTGTTCCACGGCAGGTTCCACTCGCTTAAAACATCCCCCAGAGGCGTTGATTAACCTGTTCTCGCAAATCTCCAGGGAGACAGCCTCCCTGGACCATCTGCTCCAGCTCGGCATTACAGTCTAAAGTGTTTTTCTAACGGCTAATTTAAATTTCCCTTGCCTCACAACTTGCACCCATCATTTCTTGTCCCAACGAAGATGGAGGACAGTGCAGCGTTCTCCCATTTTCAGTATGCTTTAAATGACGCTAGCATGCTTTCCTTGAAGAAAAAAAGAAGGAAAAAAAGAAGACAGCTTCCTGATGTATCCCTGCTACCTAAAAGCATCAAGTTATCTGGCATGACTTAAAGGAAAGTTGAGAAAGTTGCAAAATATATGTGGAAGCTAAGGGAGGGCATATAAAAGGAGCCTGCACATTCTTAAGGACTTACCAGAGAGCTTGCAACTTCCATAAGGAGATTAATAAAATTCATGTTAGACCACAGGCAGAATCCCAGAGAGTATGTCGTAAAATAGGAACTCAGACAGACGGCAGTGTGGCACTTTGGCCAAAGCGTAAACGTGGGCTTTGTGAGGAGCACCCTCTGTAGATCCCAAGGTTCCCACTCTGATCCAGTTTGCTTTACATTGAGCATTGTGTGCACAGACAGGAAGAAAAGGTCTTTGCCTTCAGATGTTATCATTTAACCACTGCTTCTAATCTTGTCACCTTTCGCTCCGTCTGAAGCAGCCGGGTGGTTTAGCAGGAAACTAAATGTCACGTGAAACGAGCTGTACTGCAAGATGCACACGAGTCACAGCTGTCCCTCCCCAGACCTACCAAAAACTTGAAACTGTAACAGGCTTCACAGGAGGTAAAAAGCTTCTGAGACACAAGAGTACAGGACGGGTGTTTTTGTACCCAAGCCTGAAATCTCTTATTGGTTACAGATACAAGTCAATGGAAAGATCATATATTTATACCTGAGGAACCAGGGCAGAAAGTGATTCACCTTCCCCAAAAGAACAATACAGAAAGAAGGAAGGTGATTCTGAAGAAGCAAATTAAGATTATTACCTGCAAGCAAAAAACAATCGTGAAGACCTTTTATCGGTAAAATGTTAAAGAACCAACAGAGATTTATGTTTACTTATCCTTTTCCTTCTAACAGAGAAAAAAAAAAAGTTCAGCAGAGCAGCCTGGGCAGTTGTGAAGAGGAAGGAGGTATATTTTGTGATAAGCCTCAAACAATGTTCCTGTTGAGCACAGGCACTGAGCTGGAAGAAAATAAAACCTCTGATAAAGCAAGAAATTTTGCAAAGACAGCACTGGCTCCCATAGCTGAATTAAAAAGACCCACGTGCACACACAAACACACACACACACACACTTCCCAGTACAGCAACAGGCGGGACCATCTATAGACTTTTATCCACATTTAACAAGAGGGCCTGTACTGTTCCCTAAGAAAGCTTATTTTCACAAAACTCACACAAAACAGCACACAGTAAAGCCCATCTGTGTGGATTACTTAATCAGATGGGTTGGGAACAAAAGATCTCCCTAGGTTTGAGAGGATTTTAAGTCTGCCTGAAGAAAACAAGCAAAACCACCAGAAAATTTGCTTTATCTTCCCATTCTTATCTTCTTCTTTGGATATCAGTTGACAGACATGCGCGCTAGTGTCAGCTGAGAGCCCTAATATCACAGTTCATCACGTGGTTTCGGCAGCCTTGCCCGAGCCAGGCATCCCTGGGTGACCCCACGGACTCAACCAAGCTGTGCCGTACCTGAAGCAGGAAGAAGGGAAACGTAGAGGGGCAGTTTGTGCAAGAACAAAAATTACCAGGGGTTAGTTGGCACAGGTAGATACTTCTCTACTAACAAACGGCCACGACCAGCCACCAGTTAGAGAAAAGACTTCCAAGAGCTGTAGCACTGAAATTTTCATTCCCTGTAGACTTGGCAGCTCTGCAATCTCAAAGGGAGAGGCCGCACAGGGACTGCGTTAAGGGGAAAAGCCCTTGGGTGGTACATGCTGGCTTCCAGTAGCACGAAATCCAGCATAACTTCAGCAAATAAAATGCACTCAGCCCTTTGCAATGCATGAGCTGGAAATACCACCCAGGCACGCCAAGAGAACGAAAGATGTGAAGCACTTCTGCTAGCTCTGAAATGCTTGGGCTAGGACTCTTGGGGGCTTTATCCTTAATTCCCCGATTCTGCTTTAAGCGCACACTGCTTTCCAAAGAAAAAAGGAAACATACTCACCCTTTGCAAGCTGCACGAAGCCAAGAATGATGATCAGGGCCAGCGCCAGCAGTTTTGCCGCAGCAAAGGCATCCTGAACACGAGTAGCAGCTTTCACGCTGTAACAGTTCACTGCTGTGAGGAGCACTAAGGGAAACGGACAAGGAGAGACACCTCAGTTTTCAGGGAAACACTTCAAATGCGAAACAAATCACGACAAATCAGCATTTGTTTTTTGATAAAACTTAAGCAAACAGAGTGTCTTCCTAAAATATAAACTTTTCGAAAGCAAGGCTCTGCAGCCACGCACTTCTCTATTCTGTCTTTTGTTTTGGCAGCAGGTAGTTTGAATAGTGTATACGCTCCTTGGGACAAGGAACTGCCCTCCTGCACTGGAAAGCACACTTCTGAGGGAATACCAGTAACAGCGGTTGCTGCAACCATTAGCATCAAAGTCCTTGGCTGCAATCCCTGCAAAGTTGATCTGATTTGATGCTGCTGCTGTGTAAAAACCCCACAGAAACGGCAGGACAAACTTCCAGAGCTGATATATAGGTATTTGTGTAACAGCAGCACCTAAAAAGCTACCGAGGCCACACCGTGCTGCCCGCTGCATAAACACAAAGGAAGAGACGTCCCTGCCCTGACCCGTCCGGCAGCGCTGGCAGGTCAGCGGCACAAAGGGGAAGAGAAGCTGGATTTATGGCAACCCCCGGCCCCTGCTTGCCCCGCTCGGCATGCGGTGCCGGGGCGGTCCTGCAGGCTTTGGGAGACGCTCGCCAGGGCCGCGCACTGCAGCCATGGAGGAGGGGGCTGCGCAGAGCCGGCCAGCGCCACGGCTCAGGTTCGCTGTGGCTGCTCTCGTGCTGCATCCCCACGCAGCAGTTTGCTCGTCGGGAGGCTCCCGCCACCTACAAGTTGCTCGATCATTAATGCAACGAATGAAGCGTAACTTCCTGCTTGGTTTTGCCCTGTTACTCCATCACCCTCCTCTGCCTCACCTGCTCCTGCCACTATTCAGCACGGCACTCCTACCAGGCGATGGACAGCATGAACCAGGGCTTGTCTAAAGCCCCGAAGCTGCTGACTGGCCAAGTTTCACCTGCTTCAGAGAAAATAATGGCTAAAACCTTCACTGCTCTTTCAAGTCACTTACTATTTTCGTGCTCTGCTCACTCCCCGCTCCCCAGAGCCTGTTGCTTGTTATAGGGTCGGGCAAATGTCATGCCGAGAATGACAGTGCCCCACGTGCTGGATGCCCTCCCCTCCTCCTCGTCTCCCCTGCACCCAGCCACCCCTCGCTGCCTCCACACCAGCTTGTCACCAGCCATCGGGGCTGACCGGTCACCGAGAAGCTCGGGGAGGAGGAGATCCCAACCTTTCTTCTGTTCCCTGCAGCATCCATGCCAGGCTCGCCTCTGCCCTCTTCCCCACACCCTGCAGCTCGTTTTCAGAGGACCCCACTGCCTCAACCAGAGCCAAACCGCTACTCCCCAAAATATTCAGCTCGGATGCAGATCACCCTCTCCTAAAGTTACAGGCATTAGATCTACACTCGCAGTTTAAAGCCCAGAGCATTTGACGTAGCTGTTTCCAGCCTTAATCAAGACTCCAGAGATACAAGGGGGATCAGCAGCCCCTTCATGAGGTCGCCAGTCTCTCCTCCAGGAGATTGCCGGTGGAGCTTCTGGCCACCAGCCTGTCCCCACGGAGCTGAGCTGCACAGGCTGCTTCAGAACGAGGGCAGAAGGCGATGGATAAAAGTTGGAGGCAGATATACCAGCAGTCGGATGGCTTGGTCACTGCCCAGCCAAGAGCACCCAGTGCCTTAAGACCCTTAACACACTCTGAGCATCACAGGGGAGACCACAACGCACCCCTACTCTGAAGCAGTTAGACTGGTACCCAGCTGAATGCACCCTGAGCGCACACGTGCACCGGAGGACGCTGGCACCAGCCCACCCTGTACTCACTAGCCCACCTCCAACACGAGGTGGCTGCACAGGATCGGCAGCGCCTGCCTTTGCCCTCCGGCTCACTGCAGGACCATGTGCCAGAGCTACTCACATCTCATCAGCTCGGAGCAAAGGCACGTTCCCGCAGCCCCACGCCCTGCCTCCCAGCAAGGGCACAACAAACTGCAAACTGAGAAATAAAACCACGGGAGGAGGAAGGAGTATTTGGTCATTTAAAAGGGTGTTATTGGCTCACTGCCACCCTGCATCCTGCCCTGCCCGTGAGAAAGCAACTGCATCGGTTGAGGGAATCACGCACAAAGCCCACGCCAGAGCTGGGAATAGCCTTCCTGGAACATATGGGCACGGACAGGCTCAGATGTACCCACAGGCTGGTCTTAAGGGACCGCGGTATCTGGGTCCGACAGCAACGAGGAGACGTGTTCCCACTCCAGCGAGCGCCGAGAGCGACAGGACTTCTCGGTGACTCAGAGCACACGCAGGCAAGAAGGGACACGAGTTGCATCACTCATTCACAGGGATCCGAGAGCTCGCTACGGCCTCGGCACAACAGCAATATACTTCAGGCTGAGAGGATTTAAGTGTCCATATGCTGCTCAGCTAAAGGCTGCTCGCAGGGGTCTTCAGGCAGGGAAGAGCAAAGCCAGCCCCACTGCAGCAGACTGCACGTCCCAGAACACGA